CGGGTTCGAGACCCGCCTGGGCAGCGAGACCTCATCTCTACAATAAAAATCAAAAAATCAGCTGGGCGTGGTAGCGCGCGCCTGTAATTCTGGCTACTTGGAAGGCGGAGGCGGAAGGATCTCCAGAGCCCAGCAGGTCGAGGCTGCGGTGGCCGGGAGCGGCCACTGCACTCCAGTCTGGGTGACAGAGTGAGACTCCAACTCAAAAAAAAAAAAAAAAAAAAAGAAGAATTACAGACAGAACTTGGTGATGGACTGAATGTGAAAAGTAAAGAAGGCAAAGGCTTCTATAGTATGATTTCCAAGTTTCTCAATTGAATGGCACGCAGAATCATTAACAAACATTTTCTTTTTTTTTATTTGGGGTCTCACTCTGTCACCCAGGCTAGAGTGCAGTGACACGCTCATGGCTCACTGTGGTCTCAACATCCTGGACTCAGGCAATCCTTTCCTCCTCAACCTCCTGAGTAGCTGGAACTACAGGCGCTCACCCCCATGCCTGGCTAAATTTTTGTTTTTTGGTTTTTTTGGTAGAGATGAGGTCTTGCTGTTGCCCAGGTTGGTCTTAAAAATATATGAGAACAGACTTTCTCTTGCCTCTTTAAGGTCAGAGGGAAGAATGGCTTAGTTTACTAGTTTGTTTATACCCTCTTTCTAAAGAGGACTTGAGAACTCTTACAGAAACACATACCTATAATAATATTTTAAGTCAATAAAGAGGAAAGGAAATAAGAAATAAAGAGGAAAAAAATAATGGCCAGAAATGGCTATCATTATGGAGTGCCTACTAGAAGTCTGGCAGTGTCCTAAATAAGTCCTTTACATGTAGTGTTATGAAGCTCTGCAAAGAAGTCTGAGTTGGAGCAACCGAACTGGATGAGTCAGCTCTTAATATACTTACCTGGGAAGAAAAAAGAAAGAAGCCTGAGGAACAATATTTAAGGTGCTTACAGTGAAAAAAAGGGCTTAAAAGAACACTAAGAAGGAGCAATCAGGAAATACAGAAGTGAGCTAGGAAAAAAACGGTATCATAGAGGTTATGGTAGAATAAAAATGTATGCAGGTAGTGGTCAACATTATAAAGTCTGTATTATAAAAGTCTCTGCTGCCAAGAGTTCAAGGTAAAAGATAAAGTGACTAAAGAATCTAGCAATTAGGAACTCTACAGGGATCTTTGCCAGAACAATTTCACTGGATTGGTGGGTGGGATAGAATTTCTATTTTAATAGACTGAAAGGTGAATAGGAGACCAGAAAGTGGATAAAGAGAAATTAGAGGACTTGATTTCAAGACTAGCAGTAATGAGAAGAGTGGGACACGGTAACCTAGAGGGCAGTGCAGGGCCAAAGGTGAGTTCCATTATGATGGGAAAGACAAGCACCTGTCAAGGACAAATAAAATCTTTGTGCAGGTGTATTTTTGTCATAAATATAGCTAAGCTTGCCATTTTGCTTGCCATTGTTTATGAATTTTGTGTGTTGTTTTCTCTTCTAAACACTGTCATCTTCATTATAAAGGAATTTAGTTCCTGAAGGATTCTTGAGGTACTATTTTATTTTATTTACATACCAGTGATCTGTGAGCCATTTTCAGCACAAGTGCATCACATTCTAGTTCCCTTTTTCAGGTTAGAAAACTAGATTTCTTCAGAGGAAAATTTAAAAGTGTACTACCTCAGGTTATCTATGAGATGCTGGGGAAGAGTAAGCAAAATCATTGAAAGAAGAATCAGAAATAATCAACCAATTTCATTTTTTAAATACTTTTTTTTTTTTTTTTTTTTTTAGTTAAGGTCTCACTCTGTCATCCAGACTGGAGTGCAGAGGCATAATCACGGCTTACCACAGGCTCAAACTCCTGGGCTCAAGCAATCCTCCCTCCTCAGTTTCCTGAGCAGCTGGGACTACAGGCATCTGCTTGGCTAATTTTTTAATTTTTTTGTAAGATGAGGGTCTCATCATGTTGCCCAAGTAAATACTTCTAGTAAATACTTCTTAAAATAGAAATATGTATGCCCCGGGCTCTGGAACTCTTCTCAAAGAAACTTCTTATACCTCACCCAAACCTTTGACAAGCCAGGTGACCCATAAGATTTGGTTTTAGGAAAAAATAAAATAAAATAAAGAACCGTATTTCCCATTTAGATTCTCAGAGAGGACAAAAAGTTTTCAATTTGCTTTGTTTTCAGAAGTGATAGCTTCCAAGACAACTACTCATTTCCTAGAAGTTCTATCTCCCCTTCAAAGAAATACCAAGCAATTCTAACCATGGTACTCATATTGCCAAGCTCACAGTATAGAATGGTCCAATTATGATTGACCTGTTAGATGCATTAGCTTGGGTGCAGAAGAGCAAGCACAGGTTTCAAGACCTGGTCTTGAATCCTGGTTTTCATTACTAATTCTGTGACTCTGGATAGGTTCCTTTATCTGAGCCTTAATTCATTCTCTTATGTGTACTTATCTCATAAAGTTATGAAGATTAAATGCATCTAGCAGGGTACTGGGCAAATAATACATTTTCAAAAACATAAGTTCTCTATCTTATTTAAACCTTTCATATGCTTGAAAGTCAACCCAAATTCTACCTCTACTGGCTCTGCAAAACCCTTTCTAACTACTCTACCCTAAACCATTCACATTTTTCTCTGAACTTCTAATATACCACCTGAACATAATTTTTAGAATCCAATATTACCTACAGATCTAACTCCACCAATGACTGGATTAAGAAACTGAGACTAGAGAAATTAAATGGTTTGCCTGAGAAGGCTAAATTAAGTGCTTAACTGAAGAGTATACTAGGTATCCTGCCTTGTAACCCAGGGAGCTTTTATACCTCGTGCCTCCTGCTCTTATGTGAAGAAGCATCAGAGTAGAAGTACATAGAGGGATGCCATGTGCCAGAAAACATCTGCACTCCCTATATTAAAACACTTGAGATGCAATGGGATAGATCTGCAAACTGATCCAAACACAAAATAAGGTCTTTGGGAGTGTTGCATGCAAGTAGATCAACTGACATTCCTCTGCTGCCATCTTATGGGCATAGAGGACCACTACACAGGGGCTTATTTCCATATGAGAAATAATTTTATTCAATAAATAAACATTTACTCACTATCTACTATGTATTAGGTTGTGTGGTGTGAAGAAAACTCAATGAAAAATCACCCTAAAGAAGTTCACAGTGTAGCAATAAAGACAGACAACATACTATTTAATTAATTAGCAAACCAGTATTAAGAACAGTGCTATCGCCGGGCTCGGTGGTTCAGCCTATAATCCCGCGCCTTTGGGAGGCTGAGGTGAGTGGACTGCCTGAGCCCGTGGGTTTGAGACCCACCTGGGCAACTTGGCGAGACCTCATCTCTACAATAAATCAAAAAATCAGCTGGGCGAGGTAGCGTGCACCTGTAGTTCCAGCTCCTTGGAAGGCTGAGGCGGAAGGATAGCCAGAGCCCAGCAGGTGGAGGCTGCGGTGGCCAGGAGCGGCCACTGCACTCCAGTCTGGGCGACAATGAGACTCCAACTCAAAAAAAAAAAAAAAAGAAAAGAAAGTAAGAAAGAACAGTGCTATCAAAAAAACACTGAGAAGAGAATACTAGTTTCAGCCTGGATCTGGGGTAGCAGGGTAGTCAGCAGCGGGGGTTAAACTGCAGGAGTTCTTATAGTACTATATGATTTTATTAAGCAGAGAAGGTGAGAAAAAGCCATTCCAGAAATAAGGTTATACATGGACAAAGAAAGAAGGTTGGAAAGTAAAACATTCAAGAAATAGGTCTAAGTTTTCTACCTGGGTAAAGTCATGCAATTACCAAAGATACAAAATACAGGAAGAGTAGAGAGAAAGACATAAGAAAAGTAGGAAGAATAATATAGAGGGTGCCAAAAAAATGTATACACATTTAAGAAAGGAAAAAACTGTATTAAAGTTAAAATATTCACTATAATAACAAAAGATGAATAAAAGTCGCATTTGACTTCTGCAATTACACATTGTTACTGTAAATTAATTCAACTTCGAAAAGTAATACATAGATAACATCTCTTAAAATGTGTATACATATTTTCGGCACTCCTGGTAGTTCGGGATAGGATGAACTTAGAGTCTGAAGAGTAATCTTGCCACAGAACTAAAATGACTAACGATCAGCAGGACTTTCTATAATGCCTGACTCAACATGATTTGAATTTTGTTCAGAAACTAACACAAATCATTAGGAAATTTCTCATCTTATATATATAGAAAAACATTTATTTCCATTAAGATTCAATCTGACTGTACAGTTTGTACTAAAACAGCTTTTATTCAGACCTGTACTGAACTGGTGGTCTCTTCATTTTATAATTTCAAAGGCAACTCAAACTGTACTTTGCCCCCTTACCGCCTTAAACTGCCTCTCTGTAACGGCCCTAAATACCCAATCTTTTTTCTGTTTTATTTATTTTAATATTTAACTGTGTATATGTTTAAAATATATATGACAAACAAAAAAGATATAAAGAATAATACAACCACCACTGTGTAGTACCATCCAACTTAAGAATAACAGTACCAATACCAAAGTCACAGTATTAAAAGAGAAGTATGTCCCAATTTCTTGAACTTTTTAATTGTCCTCTGCTATCCTAATCTCTTGGATCTGATCCTTAAGTTAATATACATGTTTAAACACATTAGGAATATGAAGAAACACCAGAGAAGTTCCAAATTGATTACTCTGAACAATCATTCTAACCACTTGTCCTCTCCCCGTCACCCAAGCACACCACCAAAACGAAGCATGCACCAAGCCAGCTTCCCAAAGAACCACCCGAGAAAGAAAAAAGAGTAGAAATATGCTTCATCTAGGATATGAAAACTATCAAAGAAATTTTACCTGCTTCTTCTGTCAGTCCATGTCCTGCACTTGCTGATGTCTCAATTGTACACCAGTCAGCCCCCAAATGTACACCAGTCAGCCCCCAAATACTGAGAATGCTAGTGAACTGTGACAGAGGCTTGTTGGAATTCCCCAGAACACACAGATCAACTTCCTGTGCCACTGACTGCCATAAAACCAGGATGACTACGAACTCCACTGCCAGAGCAAATCATTCCAGGTGAAAGCAGGTCAAGCTTCCTCAGACACACCTTGCCACACACCTGTGCAGCAGCTTTCCCAGAAACCCAATTTTCAACAAACAGGTGGCCACTTCTCTGGCTGGCCTTCCCTAGTAAACACCAGAGACTGTTTTATGAGATTGTTACAAGCAACCACCTTTTTCTAACAGGAAAATCAAGTGGCAAAAAGAGAAGGGGAGGGTACTGAATGAGGGTACAATATTTTTGTCCCTCCTGCATATCACCAATACTCACAGTTTGAAAAAATAACCACTTTATCAGAAGGAGATTAACAGTAAAAACATGGCTGATAAGGGCTTTAAGTAGCAGGTGTTAGGTGACTGCTTTTCACTCTGAAGTGGCTGGGGAATTGGGACAGAACCACCAGAGGGTCTGCTACATGAGGGAGTGGATTCTTGTCCTTTCTTCCAAATGCATATGTTCTATGAGGGTGGGGGAAACTTTTAAGCTTCCACTTTTGAACTGTAAAGTGGTGTGCTGAGAAACTGCATGACAAAAGCCCTTGTCTGTGGAAAATGAAGTGAGACTGGAGTGATTAACAACAGAAATATCAAGAAAATAGGCTTTCTTATTCAAGATTCTAAACTTCGTTGTATTAACTCTTAGTAGACACGATCTGTATTTTCCTTCCCAGAACCGTTTAGGGCTAAATAGTACTAATGTTATTTTTAAGTAGCTTTATTGAGATATAATTCACATACCCATTAAGTGTACCATTCAATGGTTTATGGTATATTCAGAGTTATACAATACTCACCATAACAAATTTTAAAATATGTTCACTCTAGCATCAAAAATATCTAATGTTGCATAGTATGGAGTGTACTTGGTTACAAAACAATAGAAACTGACCTCACTAGTTTAGGCAGGAATGGAATCTGTGGGAGGGAATTGCTAGTGTTTTTAATACAAAGAATATCACTGAGATAGGAGACCTAGGTTCAAACTTTTCTGCAAGGGTCATCTGCTCCCATTATAATCCCACTTACTTAGCTCACTAGTTGTTGAATCAAATAAATGACCAAGTACTTAGATTTCTGGATGCCTCTTTGTGAGGGGAGCAAAGGCATAAGAAGGTACCTGTATGGCTGTCACTTACTAAGCCATCATGATGGAGATTTTCTCTTAGGGCTCTAAGAAGTAAATGTGTTTTTGTTTTTGTTTTGAGTTGGAGTCTTACTCTATTGCCCAGGCTGGAGTGTTGGCCAGCTGGGCTTCAGTGATCTTTCTGCCTCAGCCTTCCAAATAGCTGAAATTACAGGCGTATGCTATCACGCCAGGCTAATTTTTTGATTTATTCTAGAGACAAGGTATCCCCATGTTGCCCAGGCTGGTCTCAAACCCACAGACTCAGGCAATCCTCTCGCCTCAGCCTCCCAAAGTGCTGGGATTACAGGCTTGAGCCAACACGCCTGGCCTAAGAAGTAAATTTTAAAATATAATTAAAAAAATAAGACTCATAACCTTGAGATATAGGATCCCTATAGCACGTAGATTTTAAAAATTAAATTTAAAAAAAACCACCAGGCACAGTGGCTAATACCTGCAATCCCAGTACTTTGGGAGGAGAGGCGAGATGATTGCCTGAGCCCAGGGGTTCGAGACCAGACTGAGCAACATGACCAGACCTTATTCTCTACAATAAATCAAAAAATTAGCTGGACATGGTGACGCATCCCTATGGTTCCAGTTACTCAGAAGGCTGAGGTGGTAGGTTTGTAGTTTGCAAAGTATTTTCACATAGTCTGTTTCATCTGATCCTCACAAAACCTCCATGAAATAGGTTTGGATACTTCTGGGTTACCCATGAATTATTTCTAATCTTCACAAGCATGCAGGGTAGGTATCATCCCTTTCTTAGATATGAGGAAAGAGTCAGAAAGGGAAACTGATTTATTTAACCAAAATTATACAATTAAGAGGCTAAACCCGAACACTTTCTTTTTTTTTTTTTTTTTGAAAGAGTTGGGGTCTTGCTATATTGCCTAGGCTGGTCTCAAACTTCCGGCATCAAGTGATTCTCTTACCTTGGCCTCCCAAAATGCTAGGATTACAGGCTCATATGAGCCACTGTGCCTGACCACTTTTTTTCTTTTTATCCCAGCATTTTTTGGAATCCCACAGCATAATCCTAATTGTATAAGCAAACCCAGAGACATCTAGAATGGCAGTATAGTGGGAAATGTATTTACAGGTACATTCATTTCACTCTATTCCTGTTCAATATCCACACATAGGAAGAGAGTAATTATTTATATCAGAAGAGAAAACTACCATTTTCTCTTAGCTGCAGACTTTTGTTTTTATATTTTTAGACTTTTATATAAATATTCATTTTTGGAACAAAAATGGAAGGAGACTGGAAGAGTTTGTGGAATTTTCTTTCTAGAGTACCTTTTTGAACTGACAACTGGCAGTCTAGCTTGGAAACAGATGGACAAAACAAATGACTTTTAAAAGTCATGACTCAGAGCTTAATTACTTGGTTAAAATTTCTAACATTCCAAAGATGATGCCAAATTAATCTGCTGACAGCTTCACATTAGCAGGAATAACTACCTAGCTTATAAAAACCCCAAAGGATTCAAGAAGGTCGATAGATGTGGCATATATGACCCAGCCAGTACTGACTGTGTCTTGACCAAGCAGAGTCCTATGTAATGTGGGATATTTGGGAGAGAGAAACAATTTTAGCTTCCTGTAGAGAAAAACTATTTTTAGCCATTTTTTTTTTTTTAAAGGGCGGCACCCATAAACAAGATATAAAAATCAGGGTTGAGCCGGGCTCGGTGGCTCAGCCTGTAATCCCGCGCCTTTGGGAGGCTGAGGTGAGTAGATTGCCTGAACCCGCGGGTTCGAGACCCCCCGGGGCAGCGAGACCTCATCTCTACAATAAATCAAAAAATCAGCCGGGCGTGGTAGCACATGCCTGTAATTCCGGCTACTCGGAAGGCTGAGGTGGAAGGATCGCCGGAGCCCAGCAGGTCGAGGCTGTGGTGGCCGGGAGCGGCCACTGCACTCCAGTCTGGGCGACAGAGTGAGACTCCAACTCAAAAAAAAAAAAAAAATTCAGGGTTGGAGTAAGGGGAGAGGGAAAAAGTTAAAAGAAAAACAGAACAAGAGTACCAAAGGCAGATGCTATCAGACTCTAATATTAGCCAAGGGAATTGTTTACATTTTGTTGTTAAGGAAAACTTGGAGCTTTGGAAAATGAGCCCTATCATTACACTATTGTGACAGCTGCTGCTTGGCCCTGGCATCCCTGCAGAGTTGTCTGCCAACTGCTTGCCACTTGCCATTTCTATCCTGTTGTCTGCCAGTCAAATAAGCCCCTTTATAATCAGATGACCCTGCTGATTTCTACAGTCCTCATAAGCAATCCAAAGACTGGATGATAGTTATCAGAATGCCATGATGACAGAAATTTGTATTCTGAGATGCAAACAGGCTCCTAAATCAAAACCTTAATTCTGAATGGATAATACTTAAATTCAAAAGAAGCAACGCTTAGTGAGTTCAGGAGGAGGAAAAAGAGGTCTTCACTGTGCCTCTGACTCAACGTATGATATTAAACAGACTTGCTCTTAGGGCCTTAGCATTCCCATTTGTAAAACAGAGAGCAAGCATATCTCCTATTCCTTTCTATCATGTTAAGAGAATAATACATTTCAGCATACTTGTGCTTTTCAGGAATATAAATAAAGGTACTTCACAATCCAAGATTGTACCCTTCTTAAAATAATAAACTGTTTCAGAAGTTCTGACCTGAACTATGTATGCAGAAACATGCATTATCTAGAATCCTGCAAACTTTAAATTTGACTACTATATTTACTCCTCAATGATCATGACCATTTTCACAGATTTACATAAGAGAGACTGTTGTCCCGACAGTTGATTTTTTTTCAAGTCCTCTTGCTCCCTCTGTCCATTATAACAGTAATACTTTAACACTCTAGAAATCTGGAAAATACAGAAAAAAAATAAAATAAAAATTACCCATAATCTTCCCCCCACCCCAAATCTGGTGTTAACATTTTTATGTTTATAACTATTTGGTACTATAACATATCTTTTTGTATCTAACTTCTTCATTTAACAATATATGTGTAATTTAGCAACTGAATAAAGAACTGTTACCACAAAAACCATAAAGCTGAGACTGATAATTGGCCAATTGGTATGCACGTATCCACTTACCCCTCTTAGAATAAAACATTCTCAGAAAAGGAGAGCCAGTTGTGCAATTTAATGGTAAGACCCACTCCCCAATCTAAGCACCCTTATTACACTGCAAATGGAGGTCATTTCTGAGAGATCATGTTCCATTGGTTAGGTCTTGCTGTGGCTAGTTTTAAAGCCCCATTTATCTCAATATTCACTAATTGTTTCAAATTGGACCTGTGAACACAGGCTTCAGGCCTCTATCAAAGTTTCCCAGCAGGAATCAAAATGTTTCCACAATGAGCTGATTACAGAGAAAGCTGCAGCTTCAACAGAAGAATTAGCACCCAGCATGCTCTTTCAGAAGGAAAATTTAGCTGTTTTCAAAACATCTGATTTTTTTCCCTTTCAGCTTATGTTTGTCTAGCAGGAGAAACTAAATGGCTTTAATTCTGAAAGGCTGAAATGATATGTTTTATTTGATCAAGCTATCCCCTGCTGAAAATTCTTCAGTTGTATTCCATAGCTTTGAGAATAGAATTCAAGTTTCTTGGCATAGCACAGACAAAAATCTACATGATTTTGTTCCTGTCTATGTCTCTAGTTTCACAATTTACAAAGGTCATCCAGCGTAATACCAGTCTTAGGTTTTTATGGGGGAAAAAAAAAATCCATGGACACAGAAATTTGGAAAATGCTGCAAATTTTAACCGCTCCCGCATCCTACTCTCCACCTCCAACCCCTAGAAAAGAATGACCCTAAAAGGTTTTTGAGTGATGCTGTTTAACTTTAACTCCTTGTTCCCAAAAGTTTGGCCACAAATGCTTTTTTTTTCCTTCATCTAAATCTATTTCAGAAAAAACACTTTGAGAAATGCTACCCTGGCCTCACTTTCTCCCAGTTTCAGGCATACTGAACTT